TCTGACATCAGGAACGGATTTCACGTGGACTGACGAGTGCGAGTGTGCTTTCAAGCTCTTAAGCGTGCTTTGACATCAGACCCCATCCTCCGTCACTTCGATGAGAGTGCACCCACTTTCCTGCACACAGATGCCAGCGGCCACGGAATCGGTGCTGTCCTCCTCCAGCGCGACGACACTTCACGTGAGAGAGTAGTTGCGTATGCCAGCCACGCACTAACACCTGCGGAGCAGAACTACTCAATAACAGAGCAGGAATGTCTCGCTGTCGTTTGGGCCATCCAGAAATTTCGACCTTACCTGTATAGACGCCACTTCACTGTGGTTACCAACCACCATGCCCTATGCTGGTTGTCCTCGCTGAGGAATTTGTCTGGGCGCCTTGGTCGCTGGATACTGCATTTGCAAGAGTACACTTTTGGCGTTGTGTACAGGTCCAGCAAACAGCATCAGAATGCTGACGCTCTCTCTCGCTGCCCTCTGCCACTTTCATCTCCAACCACGCATCCTCAATGCCCCTCAGGTGATCAAGCGGCTTCCTCTTCACTCACGTTATCGCCCCTGGCAGTTGCTGGGTCACTACCTTTAAACAGCAGCGCCCAGTTTGCCGCGTACCAACGTGACGACCCCTACAGTAACCACATCATCGGATATTTGAATGGCTCGCCTTCTCCACCTATTGCCAGACTACGTCGTCAGCTACGGCTGTTCAAGCCAGAGAACAATGTCCTGCAGCACTATACTTACAATGCGGATGGGCATCGGTGGGTGCCAGTACTTCCCCGTTCGCTGCGAAAACAAGTTCTCTAAGCATTCCACGACGACCCATCAGCTGGACACTTTGGATTTCAAAAGACCTACAACCGCGTTAGGAGCCGTTTCTTCTGGCTTGGTCTTTCTACCTTTGTGGCTTATTATGTCGCTTCTTGCGCACTTTGTCAACGCCTAAAACGACCAACTTCATCTCCTGCTGGCTTATTACAACCCATTCCATGTCCCGACACACCTTTTGCCGTTGTCGGAATAGACCTCGTCGGGCTACTTCCCGTAACGCCAGCGGGCCCCCGCTGGATCGTCACAGCCGTCGACCACCTCACACGATACGCGGAGACCGCTCCTCTACGTACTAGCTCTGCCTCAGACGTTGCCGCCTTCTCTTTAGAAGCCAATGTGCTGCGTCATGGTGCACCTCGCGCGTTGTTGAGTGACCGAGGCAAGGCCTTCCTGTCAACAATTCTCGACGAAATCCTGAAAACTTGTGGCACAGTTCATAAGACCACATCCGCTTACCACCCGCAGACAAATGGGCTGACAGAGTGATTTCACCGGACTCTAATCGACATGATATCCGTGTACATCGGACCGAACCACGATAACTGGGACAAAATCTTGCCGTTCGTAACATTTGCACACAACACCGCTGTTCAACGAACCACAGGGTATTCACCTTTCTTCCTCGTCTATGGTCGTGTGCCGACATTCACCATTGACGCCTCTTTCTTCAATGTAATGACGAAAACGTCGACGACTACGCCAGAAAATTTCGTCCCCAGGCTTGCTGAGGCACGGCAACGTGCTCAACTCAACACGGAGGCCAGTCAACAAGACCGCAAGCAACGCTATGACAGCTTTCGTCGAGACGTCACCTTCCGTCCTGGAGATGAAGTACTACTTTGGACGCCTGTTCGCACACCCGGATTGTGTGAAAAGTTTCAGTCACACTTTCTAGGACCTTACGTTGTTTGTGAACGAACATCTCCGGTCAATTACCTTGTCACTCCCGTCGAGGGTTCCTCGGACCGTCATTATCGTGCCTCCGAGATAGTCCACGTTTCACGTCTTAAACCCTTTGTGCGCCGTACCTTTCCCGCCTAAGTCTCGGCCGGGCCGGCCGCTCAAGTGCGCGGGCAAAATAAGTGTGAGAATTATTTATGCGACCCATCTTTTCATCCGTACATACTCATCATCACCAGTCAAGTTTAGCTTGTGGGGCACATACTCGAGTCAATAAAGGAGACTCTTGAGTGTACTCGACGCCATCTTACAATATATATATATATATATATATATAGGCACTCACAGCTGGTTAGTGCGCAATAAAGGGAATGATGGCCGCGCACTCATAGCTGGTGCAAAATTCACCAAATTGGCGACAAGTTTCATCAATTATTTGTATCTGGCTGCACTGTACCAGGGCTTCGTACAGAATCAGAATTCAGCAGCTCCGTGGGAACTGCATTCACTATTTTAACTCGAATAGCACAAAGACCATCGTCATGTTTGCATTCCTAAGTAGACCACTATCCGTGGTCACGATCCATACCCAAATCAATTTAGTCACGAGCACAAATAGGCACCCATTGGGTTCTAGAGTTACAACAAATAGCAGAGTGCTTTGTCCCACGATAAGTGCCCCCTTATTCAGCCAAATTTTTCTTCGCGAGCATGAATATTCTGGCCTGCGCTAAAGGATTATGTGTTATGTTGCAAACAAAATTGCTTATTTGGGCTGAAGGCGTACCAACTCCTTGACGAGTGGGGGCAAGCTTACCTAATTCGATCCTAGAATATATATATATATATATATATATATATATATATATAATATACTTTGCTTCTTCCAGTGTTTCCGCAGGAGAGCCTGCCTTCATCAAGGAATACAGGGTAAACGCAAAAATGCACTTTCTTTTAAATAGATGAGTACGGTGGAGGCTCCCAGCACGTGCCTAACTATTATCCTTGTAGCGACGTGACGGCATCGCAGGTTAACTGGGAGGACGAGACGTACAGAAAGGAAGCGAGCATGCCGAAGTAGAGCAGCGGCCGTGGCTTCCAGCCAGCTAGAAGCGTTCGAACATTCTAGGCGCCTGGCGCCACGAGCCACCAGCGCTCGTCGTATTTTTCTCTAGCCGGCTGGCCGCCACTAGCGCCACCCTACATCGTCATAGAAATGGCACATATCGTGTCACTGTCAATAAAAACAGGCACTTGCGATATGGTTATGACTGTATGAAAGAAAAATGCAAGCAATACATAGTTTTCTACTACAAAGTATGGGGTATGCGCAGAAACATGCAAACCGACAGAGCTGGGATATATACTAACGTTATCACGTCTATATATGATGGTGGGAAATGTACACGGAGGAGTCATGGGTTGCGCGATCATCTCCCAGCAAGCGCCTCTTACATCACATCACTTTGTGGATATGGCAGCGATTTTTTACTCATCACCTCACAACTCTCGGCATAATTACAATTAGTTTATCATTGCCGAGAAAGAGAGAAGAATAAGCAGCGCTGCAAGTGTGTGCTTCTTTATGTCTACTTTTTGCCAAAAAAAACCACAAACTTCAACTATCTCCTTGGTTTGTGGGATGAAATTTCAGGGAAAGATTATAAACTGAGCTTCCCACTGCTCGATTCCACTGTTTTATTCGTCGCCCCTTTTAAAGCTGCTTCCACCGTCACATGGTGCCATAAGCAAAACTGATCACTGATTTGGTTGATCGGAGACTGAAGTGCAAACATTTCTTTTCCTCTTTCAGTACGGCAAAACCAAACATTAAAAAGAATTCATCACACTCGTAGGCTCACAGCAGCTTCGACAGAGCAGCTGTGATGCTATTCCTTTTCTACGGAAGAAAAATATTTCCGCGAAGCAGCAAGTGCTTTCATTACTCTATAAGAACTTTGCTCATTTCCATCTGTAGCTGCACCAGCCAGCCAGGCACAGCAGAATAAAAGCATGAGCCAGTGATGTAATCTTATAGGGCCCTCTTCAGGGCTATTCTGCTCTGCAGTGCTACAGCACAAGGCGCGAAAGCGTTGTACTGCGGTCCGCACCGCAAAGAGTCTACTAGAAAAATCTTCACAGCGGAATTGTTTGAAATCTTTCATTATATGTAACATTTTCTTATAATATATTGATCTCTTCGTAACATTAGAACTGAGTGATTACTGCGGTCAAAGAAAACATCGCCTTTGTTGTTTGTTTCGCCATCGTGCAGCCAACATATACCACTGTCGGAAGTGGGGGGGGGGGGGGGGCTCATTCTTCTACCCCTTCTTGGAAGGGGGGGGGGCTACCACTCCTCTTGCTCCTCCCTCGGCTGATATCATCATCATCATCATCAGCCTGACTACGTCCACTGCAGGACAAAGGCCTCTCCCATGTTCCGCTAGTTAACCCGGTCCTGTGCTTGCTGATATGGTACATGCCCACAGAAAATGAACAACAGCGCTAACAACATCACAACACGCATTCTCTCGTTTTCTATTCTTATATACTTAAATAACAAACGAAGCAATATAGCACGATCATATCAAACAATTCGAAGCACAATGTAAGTTCATCAAATGCTCTACAGCATGCTAACGAAAAGGCTCAACTTTTGTTCGCCAAGCAGGAGAGATGAAGAAAAATTCGCAGTTTTGTTTCCACAGTAATGGGCGTTCTCGCTTAAAAACAACATCTGTACAAAAAAAAAACGCCACCCTAATTCTCTTCTACCACGTTTGTATAGATGTCGCCGCGTGGAAACGGGCAATTATACTCCGTATAAAAGCGTCTCCGCAAATCGCTGTCATTAACCTTCAAAGTCTGCCTCTTCAATTCCCGCCATTGTGTTGAGGCGTGCGTAGTCTTCAGCAAGGCAGAAAAAAAAAATGGGGGTGAAGGGGGGGGGGTGGAGCGGAGGAACGAGGTCTGTGTCGCGAATGAATTACGCATCGTGGCTATAGCCGTGGCATGCGTCGCACGAGCATTTCCGACAAATCGACTTCTCCGGTCTGCAATCAGCAAGACAGCTAGGAAAAAAGAACGAACAGTTTAAAAATTAGCTGCGAAGATCCAGGAGCCCGCGTTGGAAGCGACAAAAAATTCTGAGATATTTAGGACGCGTGCCTTAACGACGCCGTTCGCGCGTGAGCGAGTACCGGGGACAGTGGCTAGGTATATAAAGTCATTTGCCTGACAGCTCGTCACTGCCGACGCATTTTCGACAGCTTCCAGGATACGCAAGCGTGATATGAGGCTGGTTTTGGTAAGCCGCATTTCACATTTATTAATATAATTGACTGCTGTAAGCTAAGATTAAAACAGCAGGAAATCGCTTGTTTGCTGATTTGAAGTTTTCCAGAACGTTGCACGAAATCGGTTGGTTTGTCCCCCGGTAAAATGTTTTCATGAAACATTCCAGTTGTAAGCCCCTGCCTGAATTCGTAAGGGTTCTTATCAGTGAGGTGGATGAATTCACCGCACACAACGTAACCTCATGGACATGGAAGTATTTAATAGAACTGTGGGACAAAGATTTCAACCTTAGTCCGTCTTGGCCCTCGATCATCATAAGGTTGATGTCGTCAGTATTTCTTTCTGGATCTTTCGGCAAATTTCTCACATGACTTGGTTCACCATTGTGCTCGTCTTGTCTGCTACTGAAATGCGTTACGATATACAGTAGGGATATCTTGACGCGTTTTAGTGAGTTGATCTCACTGTTTACATTCTGAAGGTGCAAGTAATGCCATTTTATTACTTTTTATTTAATACTAGAGTGTTATTCTTGATTACCTCATTTTTATATCCCAGGGGGTATTTTTTAATGTGCCTCACAGCATACATTAGCGTGCTTTTAGTGATTAAAAATGAAGATGGCTTGTCACGCCATGAACAAAATTGTTCAAGGTCACAGCACAGAGGTGCAATGCGTTAAAGTTCAAGCATTAGGTTAAAGCACTGCTGTCCAAACACTGGACTGTTTGATCTGCTGAACAAAGCGGCCTCTTATTGTTGGACTGAAGTTATTTTAAAACATCATAACAAAGTACAGATAAAAGACAAGTCTATTTGGAAGTTTGAATATCATTAGCAGAGGAACTTCATTATGCAAATTCTATTTTAGGAAAGGGAAGTGAAGCGTCATAAAGGGTGCTGTGTTCGTAGAACTGTGCTACAAAATATTAACACATAGATGGTGCTTTCGAATGACATCAATCTTTTCACATTAAATTGAAAAGTTGTTTTGCATAAGCGTCCCAGCAAGTAAAGTCCGTTCCCGTGTAGGAAAAGATGAAGTTAATTCCATTGTCCCACTAGACTGATCAACAACTACATGACATTGCAAATGCTTCCCAAAAAAGAGATACTTGAAGACATGTTCCTTAACCAAAATTCACGTAATATATGCAGACATCTCCACAATTATGTCCTAAGCAAGTAGGAGGGCGTACTGAAATGTAATAAATAGTCGTGTAAATTAAGCTGTTGTGTCCGAAAGTCAAATTAGAGTGAGGTGAAATGCGGCAAAAATTTAGAAGTACTGAATAGTGTTCTTTTAATTCACTAATAACAGTTAAATGTCAATGCAGAAAGTTTCGTTTGTACACAAGGTGTGGGCTGCATAAATGCGAGCATGTTCTCCCAGTTAAAGGCGTGTTTTAAAAATAAATAAAAAATGCACCAGACGTCCCATTTTACCGCGACCTGCGGCGTGAAACGAGGCATAGCGGGGGGCAAAACGAGACAGAGTGAAAATATTGCATTTCTTCATATTTTGCCGTATAAGCACATGAAATTCACTCCCTGGGCACTCACGCCGTCTTCATGAGCCCACTTCTTGCACTCCACGCAGTAAATCCAGACAGATCCCGGCCCTGTGTTGCTTCAAAACTCCTAGCAGATAAAGAACCCCCAGTCTTTCCTTGTGCCAAAGGTGTCTTTTCCTAAACGCTTCCACTTCTTTAGATTAATTCGATGATTAGAGGCTAGATTTGTTCTGAAGCATCTTCTTCGCCACTTTTGGCGTCGTGATGCAGAATGGCACGGGCATTTTTTGGCTTTCAACTTCGTCAGCCGTGCTTTGTGAGGCGATAAAGTTCGGACTTTCTATCGCTTGTTACTTTTAAATGTTCGGTATGAAACAAATATTATTAAAACTTAATCCGAAGACGTATTTGTAAACGGCTTGACTTCAACATTATTTCGATTTTTTCATGCGCCTTTCGAGAGTAATTCTTGGGAACGTGGTACAGACTTGATGTAGTGCGAATGGAGTGAGTCCTGTCCTCAACAGCAGTTAGTGTTTTTTTTTTCATGTAAATTAAATTTCTACCAATGAAGCTCTATATAATGTTTTCTTGTACTTCCTAGCCCTCTTAAACAAAAAATACAATGTATAATCAGTATTAGTGAATGGTTCACTCAATAAGACACTTTTTAAGGCATTTTGATGTCTAGATGTCGCATTTCGCCCGTCCCACATGCGCGAATTATAAAAAATTCTGTTTTGGCACCGTACTGTACTGACGCAAAAATACATTCATGCAAGGATCCGAATATTCGGCCGAACAGAATTTCGCCCTTTTTACACGGGTCACGAACGCACCGACACCAGTCGCGTAATTCTTTCTGCGTGAATGGTGTGAGCAATGACAAACGTTTGCACAAAAATGGTAAACAAACACAAGCACCTATCGCTGAAATAGAAAAATAAAGGGAAAGTGTTTTTTGTACTAGCTACAAAAGTCAGCAAAGTCAAAATGTCGAGTTTTGCCCCGTATATCATTTTACGCAATTCTACCCTACGTGTTTACTTGGGATTTAATAATGACAGCCTTAAATGAACAAAATTGTGCTAGTTTTTTCTTGACGAATTTACCAACGAGGATGTAGCGTATCAATGTAGCACTCAAAAGCAAGAAAAAGAGAAATATTAGGGTAAATAGGGTCAGGTTCAAAATGGTATATTTAATTGTATTCCCTGCATTTGTGAGGTGGCACGTCTTATGCAAGAATTGAAAAGAAAAAAATAATTACTACAAAGCACTACGCTGTACATGCAGTCACTTCGACGCAGTACTTCGAGTCATCTGCATATTTACATGCAGTGCCAGCCTCGCAGATACAACGCAACAATTGTGTAGCCAGACATTGTTTCTGGGAGCGCTCAGCCATATTTTATGAATGCATGGAGGGAGCTTGAGCCTTTGCCCTTCCCGACTACGCCAACGCGACGTCACAGAGTATGCTGCTCCACCTAGTCCCACAGCGTACTATTTTGTCGCAGAGATGAGTTACGCAAAGGATAAATTGACAATTATCATGGAGCATGGAGCACTAAATTAAAAAAAGTACATACGAATTTTTTTTGTCTGTATTCTCTTTGCACTTTTACCGCTCAGATGAAAAGGATAATGGACGTACACCTGATTGCAAGAGAAAACTATATAGAAGAAATCCATGTGTATTTCTTGATATCAGCCATTTCACCTACTCAGTTTGCTAGAAAGCGTTCATGTTGAAAGACAGAGCGCCTCAAACCGACATTAGACGTAACTGAGCCAAAAGAAATGAATACTGTTGCTGAAGAACGTGTCCCAGAGTCCACCAAGCGCACCTATGTGGCTGCATTGAACCAATCGAAAGAAACTGGAAGCAATCAATGCAGGAAAACAGTGAGCACGTGATTCGACTTTTGTTCATGGCACTACGCTCACACGTCGCGAAGATGCCAGCGAGTTCTGTGAAGGATCTGTTGGAAGCAGTACTGGCTTTCGAGTCAGTGATACTAAGCTCTGCTTCCATATATACAAAGTAGAAAAATGCCAATATCTCGCCCACCTAGCCCTTTCCGTCCCTCACAAGTGCCCTTAATAATGCAATAGAACTGTGCCGGTCTACTGAAGCGTCTGTGTGAGATTAACTTATTCTTGCGAGACAGTCCGATACCGATTTCAGCCTTCTCGGAAGCCGACCTCCCAAACGGAAAGACGCCCATAGGGTATATCCGACATTGCAATCCGAGCGTACCATCGTTTGCAAATGAAAGCGCCACAATATACTTAAGGCGGAAAGTGCCTCACGCCGAATGATAAGTGCAAGACCTCTGTTCTTACTCACTGGAAGTCACCGCGGTACAAGTGTGAATAGGACACCAAAAACTGAGTGTAATTCGGCGTACATGAGTTCACGCAAGAAGGCCTCCATGGAGGCTCTCCTAAAGGACATTTGCACATGGTGTCCCGATCCTCGAATAATCTGTGGTGATTTTAACGCACATCACCCGCTCTGTGGAGATAAGAGTGCTGATTGTCGAGGCAAGGAACTTCTATAGCAGCAGTGGATGCTGATGACTTTTGTGTGGTGAATGATTGCAAACTAACATTTTTTTTCGGTCACCAGATTCATCGAGTGTGATAGACCTTGTATTACACTGCGCGGACTTTCTGGTATCACCGGCAACGGCCCCAGACAGAATGGGCAGCGACCATTTCCCCATATTCACCAATATCATCGGACTTGAGACCACTGGTCAAGATTTTTGCAATGTGACTCGTTGTGACACGTACAGAACAGCGCTATAGACGAGTCTTCTGATGAGCTGTTCGCAGATATGTTACGAAGTAAGCGAGCGGCTACATCGCTGCTGAAATTGCCCGATCATTTCCTTGCTCCTCACTTGAAGTTATAAGAACCTTTGCGCAGCATGTAGAAGAGTGAAGCGAAAGCTCATGAAAAAAAAAAGGGAAACACATCGGCGAAAACTGAATATAACCGGATAAACGCTGCCATTCGCAGCCAGACAAAAAAAAAACTATGAAGAATTCAGTGCGCTGCTTTCTGTGAAAGTTTATCGCAGTTTACACCCTTGACAATAATATGGAGAGTCATAAATAGTCTTTCTAGAAAGATCCGCTCTCACTGACTATTCGAAACACTCTTTTTGAAGCAAGGAAAAGATTTGCAAACCCTTTCAGAAGATTTCGCAGACGAATACACATCTGGAAGATCAGCAGGAGAGGCAATACCTCTGCCACCTCGATTATCCAATAGATTGGATATGCGGTTCACATTTCGAGAGCTGTATATGACGTTACGCTAATTAAGAAGACGCTATGCTGTTGTCCAGATATGATCAGCAATCAGACGCTGACAAATGTGCCATATAATCGAAGGCGCGCCCTTTTTGACTTATTTAATCATGTGTGGAGCACAGGAGAGATCCAATTTGTATGGAAGACAGCAAGAGTGGTGCCAGTGCTAAAGCCCGAAAAGATCCTGCGAGCCTCATCTCATATTTACCGGTATCGCTAACATTATGTGTATCTAAGTTGATGGAAAAACCCATATGCACAAGACTAACTTGGTACCTTGAGCAAGAAGGAAGATGGCCCGCATGTATGAAGAGGTTTCGCCCACGGCTGAGCGCCCAGGACAGTGTTTTGAACCTGCTTAGCCACTTGAAGCACCACCGTGTCAGCGGCCTCTCGACACTCGCCGTCTTCACGAACGTTGCCAAAACATACGACTTTGTGTTTCAAACATGCATCGTCAATAGACTCCAAGCCATGATTGTTTCGGGAAATGCTCTTCGTTGCGTACATGAATTTATTGGAGACCGGCGTGTCCAGGTTAAACTTGGATATGTCATGAGTGATGAGCGAAGTGTTTCCCTCGGTGTTGCACAAGGAAGTGTTCTATCTCCCTTGCTTTTTAACGCTACCATGGCCAGCCTTCCTGGCAATCTGACAGTTCCTCTGATAGCTGTTAACATATCCATCTATGCCGATGATGTCTGCATTTGGGTCTCAGGGTAGCAACACAAACGTCTAGCCCGGATAGCACAAGGCACCATTTCAATCATTGAACGACATTTGTCAACACTTGGCCTGTCTTTATTAGCGGAGTAATCTGCCTTCATGCTCTTCCAGGGGGTGCGGCGATAGTCAACGCGTCTGTCGCTGAATTTATATAACAAGCCATTCCATTCGTCGCGCGATGAGTGTCCGTTTTCTGGGCGCTACCAATAATGATAAGTTATTATGGCGACGAGCGGTTGATAGTATTGTAGCCACATCCGTGCAGAGACTAAACGCTATTCGTCGCATGACAGGTGTACGCTGGCGCAACAATTGATTGATATGTGGGGTTTAACGTCCCAAAACCACTATATGATTATGAGAGACGCCGTAGTGGAGGGCTCCGGAAATTTAGACCACCTGGGGTTCTTTAACGTGCACCCAAATCTGAGCACACGGGCCTACAACATTTCCGCCTCCATCAGAAATGCAGCCGCCGCAGCCGGGATTCGAACCCGCGCCCTGCGGGTCAGCAGCCGAGTACCTTAGTCACTAGACCACCGCGGCGAGGCACGCTGGCGCAACAATCCTAAGTCGATGCTTAAGCTGAATGCTGCGCTCATAACAAGCCGCACTCTTTACCAGCTGCCTCTGATGTTGCCATAATCGAGCCAGTTTCAACGCTTAGTGGCAGTCCACAAAAAGGGTCTTCCACTGGTGATGGGAGTCCCTCAGGTGGCATCAAACAAGAAGGTCAGCGATGAAGCCAAGTATCTACCACTTCGCCTCCTGGCGTCTAAGGCTTTGTTGACGCATCTATCAAGACTGGGCGAGTCCTCCACAGACATGGTCCTTCTCCAGCGGCTAAGAGCAAGACCTTACTCACATTTTCACGTGGCGATGAAGACGACGCCATATTTAGGCTTGAAATCACCTCAACGGAGCCCTATCGACCCGCCATGGTCCTTTGTGAACGTTGCGTGTAACTTCAGGGTTCCTAAACTGCCGACAAAACGCACTGTTCCAGCTGAGGAAGCCAAGTTTCTGGTGTTGGACCATTTGAGCGTCATGTACCATGGTCACCTACAAGTTTTCCCTGACGGATTGGTGTCCACACAGACGGCGAGCTGCACAGCGGCTTTCTGCATACCCTTCCTGCGCGTGTCATGGTCAGGCCGCCTGGATCGTGTTCTGCCGTCCACAACAGCAGAAAGAACAGCAATCACCGCAGCTTTGCGAAAATTACAAAAGCTTTCTGCACGAGATGTGGTAGTGCTGACCGATTCACAGTCGGCGTTACAGCGACTACATCCAGGGCTACCTCAAGAAAAATGCACAAGAAAATCTCTGGTCCTCATTAAACGCCTGATCGGCAAGAGCTTCATTGTGGAATTACAGTTGATCCCATCCTACGTTGAAATTGAAGGCAATGAAAAAGCTGATGCCATTGCACGGGAAGCGTGGACTTGCATTCCGAAAATAGGAGCTCCCAAAACTTACCAGAAAAAATTGGCACCGTATCTGCATGTAATCTGCAAATATCGTCGAAAGACGATAGTCTTGAGTGTGGAGAGAGTGAACAAAACATTTATTTGATGTTCTGCGTAAGAAAATCGGTGAATGGTATTCCGGAGGCGCTGCGTTGCCTCGAGCGTGCAGCGGAGGCGAACGAGCGCAAGGAGGCACGTTAGCCACGAGCGCCATCTGACAGTTATCTCCGAAAACGAAGGAAGGCCTGCGTGCCTGCGGAGAAAGATGCGTGCATTCTCGGAGGCGATAAGGTGTAGAACGCAAAGCGAAGGGCAGGTGCCACCACCGGGTCGTTTTAGCAAAGCGTTGGTAAAATTTCGTTTTTGAGCCCCGCGTCGCACTGTCAGCGCAGCGTGTTTAACGCTGTGGTCCTTAGCATTACTTGTGTGTGCGTTCTCTAGTATAAAGGCACACATACAAAACATCAACGCGTTGTTATGGTACCTCAGATATGCGCAAAGATTGCTTTTTAATTGACAATCGCACACGTAAGAACGCTGATCCTTGAGCAACATTGGTGGGCGCTGTGGATGGGGTCGGCCGTTCGGGGTGTCGGTTGGAGCTGTTTAACGTAACCGGTTCGCGTTAACGGTGGACAAACAGACAAATGTACACACAGATCGACCAAAGTTTTTGCATCGAAGGTCCTCAAGAAACACTATCGTCTTTAAAACAAGAATGTAATACGCAATCACTTCAGAGCGATCCAAAGGTTTTCGCATCAGTCATGCGTAATCCACGGACTTTCCGGAGAACAATCGGAACTGCGCCCCGCCGCGGTGGTCTAGTGGCTAAGGTACTCGGCTGCTGACCCGCAGGGCGCGGGTTCGTATCCCGGCTGCGGCGGCTGCATTTCCGATGGAGGCGGAAATGTTGTAGGCCCGTGTGCTCAGATTTGGGTGCACGTTAAAGAACCCCAGGTGGTCTAAATTTCCGCAGCCCTCCACTACGGCGTCTCTCATAATCATATAGTGGTTTTGGGACGTTAAACCCCACATATCAATCAACAATCGGAACTGCTTTACCAGATTAGAACTTACTCCGCATATACCCCGGCTTGGTCATTCAAGACTGGGCGACGTGCTTGCCCGTTTTGTGCGGTTTGTGGTGACATCGGAGACATCGAACATTTCATTTGGCTGTGCCCGCAGTTTGACAGAGAACGAACTGAGATGTTACGCAGCTTGCAGAAATGCTGTCACAAGCACGAGGCATTTGAGGGTGTCATTTTTCCTGAAGGATCCCCAACGACGAGGAGGAGCGTGCAAGGGATCCTCATGATTTCCCTGCGAGACACTGGGCTGAGTGACATTTGGTGACTCAGGCGCAGCAATTGTCGGTTTTTTAGTCTAGGCTCACCTCACTTTTGCAACATCGCAACCACCACCACCATAAACACGTACAGAGTGAAGTCGAGTCTACGCACACACCGCGGCTTTTGTCGTGTCTGGTCTTTTCTCTTGTGTCCGTGTTTTTCCATCCTGAGCATGAATACGTACAAACTAACTGAGTCCTCTGTTATTCTATGCGTTACAAGGTGGCCATGTTCTTGTTAGTTTAAGTGGTCGTGCGACTACTCCAGAGAGGCTTAGACTACGCGCTCCATCCCCGGACTGAGAATAATTTTTCTACGACTAAGAAGCTCCGATGAAGTTTGAATTATCCTTGCAGCTTTGTGCTAGAATCGGTGGATGTCAATCTTACTTGGGCAGTCACTCTGCTCAGTGGTTGCAGTGCTCGGCGGCTGACCCATAAGACACTAGTTGGATCTGGGCCGTGGTGATCATATTTCTCTGAAGGTGAAATGCAACAGTCCCGTGAACTCCATAGGTGTTCGAAGTGTTTGAAGCACTGCACTAGGGCGTCTGTCGTAGCATGACTCCTTTCATGACGTTGAACATAACAATTAAATGAAGCAGACAGGTTTCCCTAATATAACCCTACCTTTACATAGCGGGAGTCTGTATCATATATTTTTCATTTTTTTCAGTTCTTAAAACTTGATTACTAACGTCACCACACTACCACAATGATGCACAATCTTTATTGTGAGGTAAGGAAAAACTAATCTTCGGCCCGCACTATAAACATATAGCAGGCAATCATGGCATGATATTGTACAATGATGTACAATAACATGTCCGAGTTCAACTTTTCACCTATATATCAGCACTATGAAGCTCACTTTTCTTTATCTTTCTTTTAGGAATCGCTGCTGCTGGCCATGCTTCTGGCTCAAGGTAGCCGTGGCCATCAGAGCATCTTTCACGCGCCTATAGTAAGCCTGCAGCCCATCGCCGCACCGGCCTGGCTTCACGGTGGCAGTAACGCGCACACACACGTGCTGCCCTCGGTACCAAATTATGCGGACCAGCGCTTCATCACCCATGGCGCGCCGGTGATCCACTATGGCCACCATGCACCAGCCATCGTCACCGTCCACAAATCTAGCGCAAGACCTCTCGTTTACGGTGGGTGGCAAGCGCCAATCCCAGCGTATGTTAAATACGTTAAACCGGCTACCATAAAGACTCACGTTCCGGCACCCGTTTTCACGGCCCTGAAATTCAAGCACCCGTTGACTACCACCAAGTTGACCCACGCGCACCATCACTACCACCCTCAACATGCGGTCACAGCCTATACCCAGACGCACGTACCACCACCTCCAATTGGGCGCGCCATTGTTACCAGTTATTTTAACGTACCCGGTTCAGGTGTCTCTGGCGCTCCCGCAGGCTTCCCATCTCTGGGCGTCAACGACCACACTCCCGGTGTCTCCAATGTCCATCCACCAGCCACCGGTTTGACGTTCTTAGGTGATCGCGACGTAGATTACAACCGCCGCAGCTGGGTCAGCCCTTCGGCGCCAGTCTACAAATCACTCAGGGGTGACCACATCGAAGAGGTTCGTAGCTCGACAGGCCCATCGGTCACTGCTGAGTACAAGCCACAAAACGTGCACCCGTTTTTTCGCCTGAGCGACAGTGACGATCAGATATCTACGAGGAAAGAACCGAATCTCGCCCTGCCTTCGAGACAAGCCTTGACGTATCCCGTTCCTTCGAGGCTTGATGAACCGTCGTTGGGACTTGCATCTTTGCAAGAAGATTCCCAGCAAGCGCAGTTTGGTTCCAGGGTGCCGCGCGGTGCAGCAAGACGACGGGGTGAGGGAGCGGGTCCCGGGTTCGGAGACCGCGGAAAGCTGCGTTGGCCTTTCGAAATCGACTTTGCCGCCCTTAATAAGACTGAAGCAGAGTCACGTGGCGAATCATATGAGGCACCCTCTTACAGTGATGCCACAGAAAGCCCCGCCTAGTTGCTTTTATTGTTAGAGTGATGTAATAATCACTTATCTGTAACATCTATCTATGATTGTGTTAGTTTGCGGGAGTACCAAACGTAGACGACGACAGTGCGTGGCACAGTGGATAAACCTGACCCCACTAGAACAAGCCATTCTGTTCGGCTGCTTGATGTATGCAGGTTTTTCCTGCCTCTGTATCATAACTAGTCTGCTACTACGCCCTTCAGCAAGCTTTGACGTTCAAACACATAAACAAAGTTGAACCAGGGTCGACTTTCTCGTTACATCTAGCCTCTGGTTGATTAACTGCGCATGTTTCAATTTACCCAGTCACGCAGTACTATTTTCTTTGAAGTTCAATCGGTAATAAAGTTATTCTTACAAATGCTGTTTTCGTAGAGGTTACATCATTCGGATGTTCATTCTCGTGGTTGCACTTTTAAAGCAAGCATGGCTATTCTGTTCTTTTTTATTTTTTAAGAGAAGCTCAACCACATTCCGGTGCATAATAACAAATTTACCTCTTCGAGCAAAACATGAAATGGAAAGTATGAAACACACTAAAAATATTTCTATCGTGTCACTAGAATTGCTGGATTGCACCAGAATGATAGAGAATTCGCAGTGTTTCACTGTTCGCAAGGTTTGCTCTGCTCCCTGCCAAGTGAACATTATATTTTTGTCAGCATATTTTTTTGTTCGTCATATTAACGTATTGGTGCAATTCTACATTACATGGAAAAGACTTTCAGTGGGAAACACGTCCTAAGCGCTGCATGGGATTTTAAGGAAGTTCGAAGATAAGAACACAGTGTAATAATATTGTCTCACTTTTGGTTTGATGTTTGTAGCTTTCTTCTTTGTATCCATTCTTCATCATTATGATAGACTATAACTCATTTAATCAGCTTTCTACTTTTGTAGAACTATATATGTACCACTACATTTGTATTGGTAGTTAAGCGTTAATATATCATATGTATCACAGCTTAACGTGTATTTATTCATTGCCACAGATCACCATGAACCTATTTCCATATTTGTTTTGCATATTCCTTCAGTAAGGAATATGAAGTTCCATGTCTAAGCATATGGTTAAGATGTGTATGTCATCATCATCACCATCATCATCATCATCATCATCAGCCTGACTACGTCCACTGCAGGACAAAGGCTTCTCCCATGTTCCGCCAGTTAAACCGGTCCTGTGCTTTCTGCTGCCAACTTATACCCACAAACTTCTTAATCTCATCTGCCCACCTAACCTTCTGTCTCCCCCTACCCCGTTTGCCTTCTCTGGGAATCCAGTTAGTTACCCTTAATGACCAGCGGTTATCCTGTCTACGCGCTACATGCCTGGCCCATGTTCATTTCCTCTTCTTGATTTCAACTATATATGATATACTTAACCCTCGTTTGTTCCCTCGTGTGTAACCTCATGTGTATGTACTTCATTATAAATAAATGAAAAACTTTTGTCTATTGCGGGCTTCTTATTTGTAAACAAATGTACCATTCTGTCGTTGTCAATAAAAGCTTAAAGTTTCTTTGACCGCGAGTTTTGTTGCTATATTTTTACAGTAGTTTGTAACTTTTCATCTGGTATTACCAAAATTAAATTGTAAATGCTCTAACGCACCATAAAATAACGCTAGCCTCATTACTTCAAAAACGTTTTGCATCAGTTCGAAAACCTTGCCTTAATACCACAGGAAACTTGCACCCCGCCGCGGGGAACGCTAGAGACTACTGCGCTCAAGCTTTCGTGACGCTGAACGTCAATGGCGTCACGGAAACACGAACATCACAACCATCTTCGTTTCCTCGTATATCGCTCAAAACAGGAACAAGAATACATAAGTGTTAAAAAATTAGATTTCTCTGGCTGATAAGAACCGTGTTTTGATCTGCTGTTCTTTTAAAGTTCACCATACCCACCATCTTTGAATTCTATTTATTAAGCATTGATTCTGCGTTATGGTTTCACTGTCCTCTCGTATAGCATAAAACCTCAACGGTAAAAGTCATCTATTCTCTTCAGGTTGTTAAGAACCGTCGCTGACAGAGTTAATTTCATTGAGACCAAATGAATATTCGCACTGACGACATGTGAATATCAGCATGATGAAGTGTAAGTTGGGATGCACATATAACCAGGCTGACGGCAAGCGCAGCAGCGACAGTGAAGAAAACGTTCAGTAGGTACATCCAGGAAGTGCTCACGTGGTAGAGAGCAAACACATCCGACCTATAGGGAAGAACAGGTACGCATAATAAAGCATTTTAGAGACACGAATCGGCATGAGTCATGACGCCACGGTTACATTTGAGGTGGTTGTACAAGCCATTCAAAAGCAAACGTCTCACACATTCACTTTCTTTGCAGTGCTTGACAAGCTTTTTTTAATGTCATGATATGGTTGGAATGAGAGTTCGTTCCCACGAGCCGCCGTGGAAAAAAAATAGATTACACAAACACAAGTGTATATGCATTTTGGAAAATATAATGACTATTCTATAGCGCGGGACCATAATACTCGAATGTGTAGTTTTAATAACCCCCAACGCGATGGTGTTGTGGCTAAGGTACTCGGCTGCTTATTCACAGGTCGCGGCAGTGAATCCCAGCTACGGTGACTGCATTCGATGGAGGCGGAAATGCTGTAAACCCATGTGCTCAGATTTGGGTGCACGTTAAAGAACTCGAGGTGGCCAAAATTTCCGGAGCCCTCCACAACGGCGTCTCTTATAATCATATGGTGGTTTTGTGAGGTTAAATCCCACACATCAATCAGTTTAACCACAAGTAGACAGAGGAAACATGGCGTACGCTTAACACAGATGTTTTCCAATTAAACTGCTTGGAAAATGTGACTTTGGAATGAGCAACTATTTTAGCGGGAGGTTAAGACAGCTAATCAAAAGATACTGTTTTCATAGGTGGTGTAAAATTCCACTGCCCACATCGACTCGCCTTCTCAAGGCCGGCAGGTGCAATTGTGACGTTTTACTGACAACGGCTGAGGCTGACGTCCATCCTCGGTTGCTCAATGCTTGAAAAAGTCCTGCGCGCCAAGTGCCACAGCTGCAACGCCAGCGCCTGCAGCGTTGCATATGCGGCGCCTTGAGTGACCATAAACGTATCATTAGCTATTGATTAGGCCTACTTATACTTTGATGTCCTGTGAAATAGGAGGGAACCATATTTCTTGGCAAACTTACGTTTTGTGTATCTACCATCAACGAAATATATAATTATTTGAAAAAAAAATTCAGCTGTTGTGCGCGTGCCTGACATCTAGTTCTTTAAGTTTTTATTTATATATCTATTTATTTATTCATATATTTCCCTCCTATCTTTCTTTCTTAGTTCTTATCTATATATCTCTCTATCTATATATATCTATCTATTTATCTATCTACCTTTCTTTCTTTCTTTTTTTTTCTTTCGCATTTCGGAATGCACCTGTTTTCTTCTTTCATTTTGGTTCAGGCAACAGCGGTGATCATTGATTTATTGATATGTGGGGTTTAACGTCCCAAAACCACTATATGATTATGAGAGACGCCGTAGTGGAGGGCTCCGGAAATTTAGACCACCTGGGGTTCTTTAACGTGCACCCAGATCTGAGCACACGGGCCTACAACATTTCCGCCTCCATCGGAAATGCAGCCGCCGCAGCCGGGATTCGAACCCGCGCCCTGCGGGTCAGCAGCCGAGTACCTTAGCCACTAGACCACCACGGCGGGGCAGCGGTGATCATGCTTTCATTACCAGGCAAGAGCAAAACATGGCAGCGCCAAATTTTTGCCTTACAAACGGCTGCTCGCTGACAAGCACCCTGGGGAAACATCCCGAATTATCCGAAAACAGCGCATACAAATACGCATGGGACCCGTGCACCTGCGAGGGCCTATTTGTGTACACTCGTGAATTACGTGGTGGCGGCGGTATAGTGCGTGAAGTATGCCACGAAGACCGAAGTCTCTCTCTCATGGAAGGTTTTAGTCATAAGTTCCAGAATGAGGAGTGTTCAGAATTCTATGCCACGGTGGTCTAGTGGCTAAGGTACTCGGCTGCTGATCCACAGTTCGCTGGGTCGAATCCCGGCTGCGGCGGCTGCATTTTTGATGTAGGCAAAAATGCTGTAGGGCCACGTGCTCAGATTTGGGTGCATGTCAAAAAACTCCGGGTGGTCGAAATTTCCGGAGCCCTCCACTACGGTGTCTTTCATAATCATATGGTGGTTTTGGGACGTTAAACTCCACATATCAATCAAATCAGCAATAATTATATGCAAGAAATTTGATAGTCAACACTGGAACCAGCATTAGAGTTTCACGAACATTTGGCTCTTCTTGCGAAGTATTTCGAAGACCCTAAATTAAGGGGCTGACCGTGAGGGCACCCAGACGTAGGCGATTCAATAGGATAGATAGATAGATAGATAGATAGATAGATAGATAGATAGATAGATAGATAGATAGATAAGTGATTTTCAATGGCGCAAGGGCCAATCGATGGCCAAAGAGCGCCATTTCGATAGAGACTAGAGATATGAACAATGAATGTTATGATGCGTGGCTGTAAAAGGGCCTTAAAATGCCTCGCGCTAACGCGGGTAAAAACATAGAAGCATTAAAATCGTGAGATGGACGTGAACTACGTGCAATAATACTAAATGACGTGGCGTCGTGATAGTGGGATAGTGACGTAGTTGCAGCCACTGCGGCAGCGACCTCTCTTCTGAGATCGCGCTACGAAGCGCCTGAATTTATCACATTAAAAGTATGTACAGTCGCGGCCACTGTAAGAGGGAACACGGAGCGGGTGACCGCGCTTCGCGGAGCGCCACGACGGGCGCCGTGCGAACTATTGCGGCGCAAGCGCAATAAGCCCCACAGGTGGAGTTAGCTGCGCATCGTCTGCTAGGGTGCCTTCCACTTCGCCTCGAAACCCAGATTGCGCGCGCGCTTTGGAATACACAAACCCTGTAGCAATGGCGCGTCAA